TAATCTTTATATAAAAAGCTAGAGAAAAAAATCGAAGATATTGGTGATTCAATAACTGTCAAGCGTGAATATTGAGGAAACAGAAGAAAAGTTAAGCAAGAATATGGTTGAAATCTTAAATTCGAATCAGAATTGGCTTCCAAAAAACAGTTCAATCTTTATAAAGGAAAAGAGAAAAAAAAGTCGAAGATATTAGCGATTCTCATTGATCGCCAGAAATGATAAATATGAGGCATGAATATTGAGAGAATAGAAGAAAAGCTAAGCAAGCATATCGTCCGCTATTCGATCGTCCAACTTCGGTAACGCAAATACGATTTCGTTCGTAATGCCTGTGCCCTTATTTCCCAAGAAACACGTGTCTTGTGGCCTTAAAGAAAAATGTTGATTGGCTGGTGAAGCCTAAAGCTACCCCCTCATTGGTCGATGGATTAGATGACCACGTGGTGTCCTGGTATATAACCAAGGGTGAACTAAGAAGGTATCGGCAGTTGTGCTCGGAACATGGACAGAAGTGCAAAGATCGTTGTTTATTAACTTGCTTTTTTCTCCGTCTACCTTCGATCGCGTAGTGATAACGAAATTATTCGATAAAAGGGGACATTAATCAAGTGTGATTTTCACGTATTTACTTCATATTTCTAACCACTGTACGTACACGAACTTTTTCCCCGGATAGACTCCACCGCTACTGGAACCGCTTAAACTTCACTATTGTACCCGAAACGTGAAGAAGAATAGAAGAAGAAACGACGAAGTGAGTGGCGTATGGACCTGTCGAAAGTGTATTACACCTTTTTGTACGATTGTGTGAACATTGGACCGACGTTTTTCTTTTCTTTTTTTACTTTGGACTTAACCGGCGTTCGAAACGAATTTTCTTCGAAATAGAGAAGAAGAACGTTGAAACGATTTTTCCACGGTATCTACGAACACGATAGAACTTATCCAGGGATATAGAACTGATATCCTACTTCTTCTTTTACCAGAAGAAAATTCGGGAAATTGAAACAGAATTACAGGGATCTGTAATAACGATCCTTCGAAAATTGATCTCGATCACTTGCAACCTCGTAACTTCCGATCGGTGGGGAAAAATTGAAGAGGACCTAGCTATGTGTACAAACTACGGTAAGTTCATCGTAGAAACGTTACGGATAAGGAAAATCGAACACGATGAATTTTGTATTCGAGTCGAACTATCCTATCAACCTATAGAACCATCGTCCAGATGTCCGGTCCCCACAACTTATCCTGATACGGGCATACCTTTCGCGTTTTTTTACACAGACTACATGTGTCGTTATTTCTTCACCGTCGTGGTAGAAATGTGTCGATAGAAATGTCACGTAAATCACGACGAGAAGTATCGAGTATATTTGAGAGAACGATAATGAAGAACGAGAGAAAATTGGAATTGCAAAGTAAGTAACGCGTGGTGTAGAAATGTTCCGTTCGAAGATGAAGATACACAGAGACCAGCCGGTTTTCGAAGGATTTCACGGAAGAAAAGTTGTGAAAACAAATAAGAGTTAAAAGGCTGGCTATCCCGAGGGTTAAATTGATTTTTGAAATATTTAGCGTATGTAGCCGAGGAGAGACTAGCGTCGACACAGCGTGTACAAGGGAAAATAGACCACATCGTTGGTACGTCGTGGTAAAAGACGGTGCCGGCCAAGTTATACTTCACTCATTCATTCAAGGCACCTATACATACTTTACTACTTCGTATCCTACTTTCTTAACTCCGGTATTAACTGCGAGAGAAGTAAGATTAAATAGTCGTAATCAGAACGACAACGCTGCCAGTATCGACTGTGACTCTTTACGCTGAAAAGAAGAAAGAGAAATCAGTAAAAAGAAAAATCGTTCTCCGGTGAGAATTGAAATATTTTTTTAATTTACGTATTTTACTCCTTTTATTTTCATGCGTTGTTGTTTCCACGACGAAATAGCTAACCGTCGTTCGTACGTCTTTTTTACGCCGACTCTATGAGACCTGTCGTAAATTTGGACAAAAATTATTCGGGAAGAGAGTAGTGTAAGAGAAGAGAAAAGGAAACGATAATGGACCCCAGTGCAGCTGCTGGCCACTGCACAAGATTAGACATAAGACTCTTGTGCGTGTGACAGCGGCTATGATGGGACTTCCACGAAAGCAACGATGAAACGACATGTCCTTTCTAAAGTGTGGCAATTAAAACTTCCAGGCGAATGTAACCACGTGAGTTCAACGTTTTACCATCAAGATTCTATTGCCCCCTTCTCTTCGTTCGTCGCTTAATTTGTTAAATGAAAATTACTCTCGACGGCTGCAAAGATATTTTGCACAGTTATTTTCCATCTTCGTTAGAGATATTTTAATTTTCGACAGGAGTATCTGAGAAAAAAATCCTGGGAAGCTTTTAAGTCTTCCATAATCGTTATCGAACCTCTGATGAACGTTTTAAGTGTATACCGGTTTAACCGAAGACATAAAATACCTATAAATTGTATAAATGTACTCGTACACTTTTGTCAACGCTTGTGAAATAATAATTACCTCCTCAGAACGAACAGAAGGTGTAAAATGTATGATAAAAATTTTGTGCATATAATGATAAAGTATTAATTGTAATTGTGTTTTATGTAAACATAATATTTAAACTTGAAATATATTTTCTTTCATACTGGGACGTGTATTGTTGTATTTAAGTATCCTTCATCTGACTCCTTTTCCTGAAATGCAAACTGTTACTACAGTAGCATGAGAATTCATTTCAGCCAAAAGTTTGTTTGCAAAAGAACAAGTAGGTACCATCTATACAATCTCTGTTCCATGTTAACAATAAAGATTAAATCTATCCGTTGCCTATCAATTGTTACTCTGTCTGATGACACTTTCTGATGATAAACATTTGCACTTTGCATAGATTTTTCATGATCTGGAAACCTTAGAAGATAATGTGATTGATTCACTACTACAGTGAAAGTAATGCATCAGTTACAATGGCTGCACACAACAGCAAAGCATATAACTTGTTACCTGCTGATGCAGCGATGAGCTCGATAATGTAGTTAACTACGCTATCATGTATGAAACGGTGAGCAAGTAGAACTCGAAAATGCAATATATTTTTGGTAGATAAACAGAGTTTTGTGAATAAAGGATGCACTCAGTTTTCTCTCTCTTCTCCACTTCTCTAATAATTATATACAACTCGGCGTAAAATAATATTACGAAACGACGCTAAAATTAGAAAATTAGTCTGGCGTTAGTAACGACGAAACTTCAGATATGCAACGGTAAGAGTAATATTTAAGGTAAGTAAGTATATTCGTTTAAAAAAAGAAAAAAATGCAAATACGTACGTTCAAATTGCAATAATCACACTGTAAAATTCAAATACACTTGAGTACTGTGTATGTTTCGAAACCTATTCAAACTTCCTCCTATTCGTTTCGAGTAATCGAAGAAGGTTTTTCGAACTCACATTATTCAAACACTCTTGAAACGCAAAAAAAAACGGAGCATATTTATCGATTTAAGAGTGCAACGTTAATAAAAATAAAAGTTCATCGTGCATAACTGTTTTTACACTTTGTAGATAATAATCTGCAATTGGTAACAGTCTGTAATATCGTAGATATTCGAATCCAAAATAAAAATAGAAAATTATGGACATCGGTTACGTTTGTCATGACTCGATGAATAAACTTGCAAATTAAAATGACCAGTCAAATTAAATTATATTTTCTATTTGTTAATTCACTACGTTTATATCGAAGGTCATAATTTTTAACACGAAATCGATAACTGGTGCGCACCGGCGCCTGCGTACATTTCAATTCCAAATCACTTGCTTACGCGGGGTCCATTGTGGAACTCCGCAAAGCTAGTGTCACTTGTGTGAAAACGGAAAATCCTCCAACCAGATGCAAGTGAAATCTAGGAATATCAGAACCAAGGAAGGCTACGGTGGCGACATTGCTAAAAGCACACGGCTGGCCAGCGCGACTCACCACTACTGCGAGTTCGAGTGTACCGTCACCTGGACACACACAAGAGGAGGTTTTCATTCTCCTTGATCCCTACATTTATATATGTGTTTTCTTTCGTCGAAATAAATTGTAGAAAAAATCAAACATCATGAGTCTGGTTAGACAAAATTATTCCACCGACTGTGAAGCAGCAATTAATAAGCAAATCAATCTGGAATTGTACGCGAGTTACTGCTATCTATCTATGGTTAGTTGACGTATTGATTAAGTGGCTATGTTTAACCTTGAATTTTCTTTAAATAGGTTAAAAGAAACATATTATTTTCTTTCTCTATTTCTTCCGACAAATACTTTCCTCGTTCCTGTATCATTGTCACTATTTCTTTTTTAGGCATATTATTTCGGTAGATGCGATGTTGCTTTGCCAGGGCACTTCACGTATTTCAAAAAAGCTTCGGACGAAGAAAGGGAACACGCTTTGAAATTTCTTGATTATCAAAACAAGAGAGGTGGTCAAATAGTCTGGACACCTATTGCAAACCCGCCGAAATCTTCTTGGCCTAGCGCCTATGAAGCTATGAAAGATGCTTTAAGCCTAGAGAAAGAAGTTAACGAGGTAAATATATTCAAATATACATTTTAATCGTAAGAATTATTACTATCATTGTAAAAAAGTAACTTAAAATAGTATAATATAATAGTAATCGTAGTAACGATAATATTATATATCTTATTTATGTTTCACTGTTATATAATATGCTGGAAACTTTAAATTATATCCCATTTACTAATTTAATTAACACGATGAATCTAAAATTTTTAAACTGATCAACTTGATTTGACATTTATGTATTCTTAATATCTCTTCTTACAAGTGGGGGTGTAACTCAGTGGTAGAGTGTCCGCTTCGCATGCGGAAAGTCCTGGGTTCAAATCCCAGCTCCTCCAAACTACGACTTTTATTTTTTTTCTTTTATTAATTCGTAATATAATTACCTTGCAATCGCAATGCAACATTTTTAATGAAATAAATATTTTTTATAAATATTTTTATTTATTTTCAGGCTCTCTTAGGGTTACATGAACTAGCATCACTGCACACCGACTCGAACCTTGTAGATTTCCTCGAAACTGAATATTTGCAAGAACAAGTGGATTCTATCGAAGAAATTGCCAATAACGTGACGCAATTAGAAAGAGTTGGCGAAGGTGTCGGCGTACATATCTTTGACCGAGAAATTGGAGAAAAAGCTTTGTATAAAAAAGATAACGCTACTAGTAACTAAAATTTAGCATAATTTCTATAAAAAGATCGTGCTTCAGTAAATAAATGTATGACGATAGATGAAATATTATACATTACATAACTTTCAAGTGGGAAAATAAACACAGCACTTAGGTACTATCGATAATGTAAGTACACTTGGGTACTGCAATCGTGGAAAGCATTGCCAACTTCCGCGTAAAATGAACATATTTGAAAACAAATTGCAAATCGATATTATGACATGTAGACTAAAATGAAAATTTCTTGAAAAATAATTTCTACAATTAACGGTCTTCTTTATTGGAAATGTGCACATAAATTGTTCGTAACGTAAGCTAAAACATGTTAAAATTGTACGGTGGTAGAAAAACTTTTAATAATGTCTTACATTCGTATATTCGACAATTGTACAAAAAAGAGTAAGTCTCTGCATTATCGATTGAAATTATCTGTCGTATCAAATGTAATACGGAAAAAATAAATAATATTTTTCGAGAATTACGTTTCATAAGGAACCGTGTAATTCGAAAATACTGTCTGCAAAATACCTGGCTACATCTTCCTCAGATGAAAAATCTAAAGGCTTTTGCATTGATAAACCGACGAAATGGCCAAGTGGAAAACCGGCAAACTTCAAATTGCATCAAGTAACGGAAGCTATACTAAACGAGCAAATAAATGCTGAATTAAAGGCTTTTTATTATTATCTGTCTATGGTGAGATGAGAGATAAATCAAAAATAAATGTTTTCACGATATCCTTGGGGTAAGTCAATTAAATCTTATAGGCTGCATATTTCGGACGTGCTGACGTAGCTTTGCCTGGCTGTGAATCATTTTTCATGCAAATGCACCATGAAGAACATGAACACGCTCTCAGATTTGTAAATTACGTCAAAATGCGTGGAGGCTGTGTACATTTGTGCCCGATACAATCACCCGACGATCAAGATTGGAAATGTCCACTTCACGCTTTCAAAGTAAATCCATTGAGTATTCCTCGTGATATACAACACTTCGAATAAATAACATGGCTATTAAATTTATTTAGACAGCATTGGAATTGGAAACTGAAATAACGGAAAAACTTGTAGCGGTAAATACTGTGGCGGAAACATATAGCGATTTAAATGCAAGTGATTTTATTGTTACCGGTTTTATGGAAGATCAAATGAAAAGTGTGAACGAAATGGGAAGATTTGTAGCCATTCTATCTGGAATCGGTGATCAAGCGTTGGCACGTTTTATATTTGACAAAGATTTACTTGAAAATCACGTTACACCAAAGTTTAATATTCTTCATACAAAGATGCGTCCAAACGGAAATGATAACTAGTACCTTCTCTTTTTTGTGCAATTTCGCAGGAACTACATCTAGTGATTTTTGCCTGTCGTATATTGTAATATTTGTAATATCTGTTTCTTTAGAATAAAAGTAAATGAACATGTCAGTTGTAATACTATTCAAATGAAGAAACTAGAAATAAAGAATGCTTCAAAAAAATGAATAAAAATATAATTTTTCAAACCTTGCATTCCTAGTAGTATTGGTATGTGCGTCGCAATATAATTGCAACTACAGAATTAATTAACAACTGATTGAAATTAATAAATAAATAATACTATA